GGGTTCTGTGACTAAAGCAGCCGGAGGCAGGGTGATAAGAACAGGACGGACCTGCATAGAGGACACCAGTGGACTCCTTCACCACTGTCTGGGGTGCAGCCAGACGACTTCCAGCTAGAAATGAAGAGCTCTCCAAAAGCAGAAATCAGGGCACGTAGCTTACGGAAAGAGAGATCCTTTGCCCTTCAGAACCTTTGTGTCGGGAGGAGAGCCAACCACCTCAGAACGTTGAAAGCGGTTCTTCGACGTTTTGCTCCTGGATCTCCGGGGAGTGATTATTGGTTTTCATGCTGTGCTCCCGGCCTTGAGGAGTAACAAGGATGCTTCCCCAGTGCTAGCGGCCTTGGGGCATCCTTGGAGACCTAACCCACAGCCTCTGAGCAGCAGGGCCTCCTCCTCAGTCTCCTCCACCTCAGAGCTCAGGGAGTCCATTTCCCTTGCTCTTGCTCTTCCCTCTCCACACACCTGTTCCTTCTCTGGCTTCTGGGCATGGTGGCTCAGTGACAAGTCAAGACGCAGTGCAAGTCTGCCCTTTCCTGAAAGGTTACTTGTCTCGGGTATTCCCCAGCTTCAGAGAGTGTTCAGTCATAGAGAATACCAGGAGCTCTCTCTCTCTCTCTCTCTCTCTCTCTCTCTCTCTCTCTCTCTCTCTCTCTCTGTGTGCACCTCAGGCTTTTCCTAGTCCACCTCCATGTCATTCTAGCTTTTATTATTGTTATATATCAACCAGCAGATCTTTTCTTTTTATTTCCTTTTTCTCTTTAGAAAACAATCATGTTGGCACACGCCTTTAATCCCAGCACTTGGGAGGCAGAGGCAGGTGGATCTCTGAGTTCAAGGCCAGCCTGGTCTACAGAGTGAGTTTCAGGAGAGCCAGGGCTACACAGAGAAACCCTCTCTCAAAAAACCAACCAACCATCTATCCAACCAACCAACCAACCAAACAAACAAACAAACAAACAAACAAACAAAAACAATCATGTTCACCCCCTATAGGCAAAGTAATCTATTTTATTTTGCTAATTTGTTTTTATCTTTAAATGACAAGGTCCTCATATTACCCAAGCTGACCTTAAAGTTGACAGTGTCAGCAATCCTCCTGCCTCAGCTTCCTCCGTAGCTAGGACTACAGGCAGGTACCAACATGCCCAGCTCAAGTACTCTTTATGTAATTATAATGCAGGCTGGAGAGATGGCTCATAGGCTAAAAAGTACATACTGCTTTTGCAAAGGACCTGAGTCCAGTTCCCAGAATCCATATCAGGCTGCTCACAACAGCCTAAAAGTCCAGCTCCAGCTACACCCTTCTGGCCTCTGCAGGTACCTATAGTTATGGGAGTTCTCTCTCTCTCTCTCTCTCTCTCTCTCTCTCTCTCTCTCTCTCTCTCTCTCTCTCTCTCTCCATCTGTTTTTCCTCCTGACAGAAAGTTTCTACCATGTTAGAGATTCAGAGGGGAAGTATATTTGCTAAAGATGTGCAAAGAACCAGACAGAACTCCTGACACACAGATCTGTTGTTTTGTGTTTTTGTTGTACTTTTGCTGCTGTTTGTATTCCCGGAGTAACTGCCTTAGGACTGGGGATTCGTTCCTTCTGCCTGGATAGTGAAGATCCCAGAAGAGGCCCAGAGACCAGGTCACACAGACAGCAGCAAAATCTAGCCAAGGTGCCTGGATTCACACTGGTAGGAAGCATGGAGGAAGGGAGAGCTGTGGGCTGGGGATGTCAGGTGTGGGATGGGAGTGGGCAAGGAGTGTCTGATTTGCCTCTTTTTCCCACCCTGTGAAATATTTTTCCTCATATTTCTCAATTTCCCCCACAGCTCTGAAACCATAATGCATCTTACACTGTCAAGCCTCCTGTGGACACCAAGATCAAGCAAGTGCTAGCATGAAAATCCCAGCTTGGGTGAAATATGGTCGGTGATGAACGGCAGCTTAGGAAACTCACCTCAACATCACCCTTAGAGTCTAACTCAAGAAATTTCCAGTGATGGTAACAAGCACTAGGTCAACTGAATGGAGGGACTGGGGGGCTTCTGCCTGCCTGGCAGTTGTCTTCAGGTCCAGGTGCTGGCAGCTAGGGAACCAGCTGGGCCAAGGAGTGAAGGCTAGACAGCTGGGCAAAGCACAGCTGGACATGGGGTTATAATAGTGACAGCAGGCAGGGGAGGGGATATGCCAGCAAATGAAGTCCTCATCTAGTGTTTCCTCATAGAACGCGGTCCCTTTCTCCTACTCTTGGGCCTGACAGAGGTCACTATGTCCAAGGAAGTGCACGAGGGAGTGGATGTTTTCAAGAACGGCCTTACATTTCAGACAATTCTGGAGTCATCGCCATTTTCTCATTTCATTTAATTTGTGTGACCCATACATAAATAACCCTTTGTGCTTTCTGGACCATAATTATGTAAAGTGAAGTGCTTGGATAACACTTCCCTGACACGTTCCGACTGCCCATCTCTAAACCCATTTTATAATTTATGTTAATATAGGACATATTCCTTAATCTTTGATTTTATATGCACTTATGTACGTGTGTCTGAGCGTCTGTATGTGTACCGCCTGTGTACTGGAGCCTGCAGAGATCACAAGAGGCATCAGATCCCTGGGATCTGATAGACTGTTGGGAGCCACCACCTGCAGGTGCTGGGAACCACAGAAGCCATCCCTCCAGCCCTCTACGCCCTGATCTGAACCTTGGGAGGATACACAGGCATTTCAACCAAGGGGGTTTGAAAATTCAGGATTTTTGTTGTTGGTGATGGCGGTAGGAGCCCAATCTCAAACAGCCAGGTCTCTTGGAGCACACTGGTTCATATGTGCCGACAGGACAGTGTATACACGGGACCGCTGTCACTCCCAGAACGTCACAGGCCCTTTACACGTGTGCAAATCTAGCTCTTAAGGTCAAGGCTATCAGTGACTTCAGGAAGGACAGCGTGTGTAGCTTTTGCTCCCTTGCCCTCTGAGCAGTATTGGACTAGGCTCTTAAGGCCTCTACTTCAGAAAGCAGGGCTGTCCTGGGTCTGACCCTTAGATGTGGGTTTTTTTCACTAACATCATTTGTGTACTGTTGTGCTCAGTATATGTGCTGGGTCTACAAATGACCACGAACAGACCCTGCTCTCAACACCAGGAGAGGAGAGAAAGCTTGAAGGA